TAAAATACACTCAAGTAAAACCATCCTCAAGTAATGTCTGCCATGCTCAAGTAAAGTGTGCCATGCTCAAGTGAAATCACATCCTCAAGTAAAAGCTCAACAGGTAAAGTCACACCCTCATGTAAAAGCTTCTCAAGTAAAGTCAGATCTTCTTCATGTAACAGCTTCTCAACATCATGTCACAATGCGTGCCCTCAACTCTACCCCAAAGGCTGCTTGTGTCTTTTTCACTCCAAGGATTCCAGAGATGAACTGCTGTCATCTTGCAGCGTCCTCATCAAGTCCATCATGGCATTGATGCGGTCACGCCTCCTGACAATGGTTTCAAGCCAACATTGACATAACTCTTGTTCATTTGCTGCAGTTAATACAAACTTGAACAATTAATTTTCAACAAACAAACTTGTTTAAAGTTCAGTCCAAGAATCTTGTCAGCTTTGCGCAATTTCCTGGCCCTTTCACTGCTTGTTTCCTTCTTGCTGAGGTGTCTCTTGTTCTTCTTCTTTTTCTTCTTCTCACAGAGCCAAAAGATCTCTCACATAAAACATGCACCCTCACACTGGCAAAAACCATTAGAGAATCAGAGAATGCTCTTGTTCCTAAAGTGAAGAAAAGTACATATCCTCAAGTAAATTTACTCCCTCAAGTAGACACCCTCAAGTAAAAATGTTTTGTTCAAGTCAAGAAGGGTACACATGCTCAAGTAAATGCAATCCCTTCAAGTAAAGGCAAAGTCCACACCTCCTGGCATGCTCAGTCAACAAAAACAAAAATCCATAGCGCAAATATCCTCAAGTACATGTTGTCCTGTAGAAAACCTGCCTCTTTGGAGAAAGCCAACTCACATAAATAGAGACATTTTCTGCTTCAAAATCATGCTCGCAAAAATTTACTCATAACCTAAAAAATTTACTAATAACCTAAATTGGATTTACTAATAACCTAAATTGGATTTACTCATAACCTAAATTGGATTTACTATTAAATTTACGTAAATTTTTACGTAAATTTTCCTGAGTAAAACCAAAAATTTACGTAAATTTTATGGTTAGTAAAATTACTAATTTGGGTGACTTAGGGTAGTACGCGGAGTATCTGGGAAGCTGGAAGATGAGAACTGGCGACTTTGTAGTACAACTTTAGTACGC